CCCCCGCCAGCCCGTGCGGCGAGGCTGGCGTGTCACTGGAAACCACGCGTGACTTGGCGGGAGCCGCCGGCGGGCCCTGGGACGGGGTCCCTTTCCCTGCCATGTTACCCATCCGCCAGCACCGTCCCCCTCCCCGCGGCCACGTGCGGTCTCTCCCTCCGGTGGGGGAGAAGTCGGGGAGCGGCGGGCAGGAAGGGGGTTAAATCGCGGTGTTTCTTCGACACAGCACAGCAAGGAAGCTCAAAAGACAGCCATTTCTCTCCTCTCACTAGTAACAACGCAGCCGATTAAAAGTTGAGAGTTATGGCATTATGCCCAGCACCGTCCCCCTCCCCGCGGCCACGTGCGGTCTCTCCCTCCGGTGGGGGAGAAGTCGGGGAGCGGCGGGCAGGAAGGGGGTTAAATCGCGGTGTTTCTTCGACACAGCACAGCAAGGAAGCTCAAAAGACAGCCATTTCTCTCCTCTCACTAGTAACAACGCAGCCGATTAAAAGTTGAGAGTTATGGCATTATGCTCTCACTTCTAAAACCTGATTGTTATGGTTTGGTGGGGAAAGAGGGAAGGCAGCGTAAGTAATCAACATTTTTTTTCAGCATCACCAGGCAGGAGTTCACTGCAAAGCACAAGCTAATACATACATCTAGTGAACAGCAGCCCTGTATTTTATTTAAGGTCTGTTGGGTATTTCAGGGAATATGAAAGATCGTGTTATTCTGCAGGAGCAGTTTCCTTGGGAAAGTATACACAGACATTTAATCCCAGGAATATTTATAGTTAGCATAACTCAAATGGTGTTGTGCATGCAGTTGGTTAGTCTAAAGTGGAGCGTCATGCAGCTTGCATTAATGTTGGCAAAGGCACTTTATGGAGAAACAGACTTTATGCTTACAATTATCCCAGCCCAATATGGAGTGTCTCTGACTAGCAGAGAAGAACTGATGCCTGCCATAAGGAAGCCCAGCACTGTTACAGAGATGCCTAATGCCAGCTGCAACAAAGCAAACAGCAGCGGGAAACGGCAGCCACAACAAGTGTGGGATTCCTCCTCCTGGCCAGTTTTGGGATCCCCCTTGGGTTTCTTCTGCTTCTTCTTCTTCATCGCGGGCTCCTGTGTCTTGCTCGAGTCGGTGCTTTTCTCCCCTTCGGGTGCCTTCGCTGCCTGGCTCTGGTTATTCAGGGACACGCTGTGCTGGGGTTTCTTCTCCTCCGCCTTTCCCATGCCGACGAACTTTAGGTTTTCACGTGCGTGTGTGTGTGCGCGCGCTGATGGGGGTGTGAGGTTTTTTGCCCCCCAAAGCTTCGCTTTGTGCTGGCTGAGTTGTTCCTGGTATTTGAATCAAGGAGGCTGAACAAATATGGAAAACATTTGGAGCAGATTGTCAAGAGCTTCGAAATGCCACATATAGCCCAGAGAAGAGGGGGATTCAAGGGGGGTAGCGAACTGCCAACGTGCAGGCGCCGGCTCTGCACGGGAGCTGGCCGTGCACGCAGCGCCGAGCATGCGTCCTGCCGCGGCTACATAGGTGTGAGCACACACACGTGTGTGTGTGTGTGTGTGTGTTTGTGGAGGAGCTGGCCAGGCAAATAGCATGCAGAAAGTCTGCGTTGCCAGCTGACGAACAGGAGGGAAATCTGTCTCGCCAGGGAGCCGGGAGCGATGAAGTGCCCGTGTCTGTGTGCGCAGCGAGCAGGCAGGTAGGAGCTCATCACGCCGCGGCTCCCCTGGGGATTACTGGCAGGCAGAGGGTAACTCGGTGAACCCACGCAGCACCGTGCACACAACGGGCACGTTTCATACACCGGCTGAATCAGATTAAATCAGTG